TTAATACAATAATACAATGCATTATTGGACATTTTAATGGGCAATTAACAGCCTCTCTTCAAAGAATGAACAAAACAATATCCTTCAGCTCAGCAGAGAGGTTTTTACCATTCAATGGATATAGGATTTACCCTCAATGCCATAAAAATTACAAGTACAGTACAGTAAAAATGAAAAAAGGTTACACAGTCCAAAATATTTTTTTTTTCTTGGGATTATCAGTTTAAGGAATTCATACTTTGCAGTAGGAATCTTTTTTTTTTCAAGTATACTGTATCACTTGTAATGATCAGTCTCATACTTGAACATGTCTTTTTTTGGCATCTTTTCCTTGAAAATATCATGGTTTTATTTGGCTGAGGCAAGATGAAGCACAAAACCAGACATCTTTGTGGAGATGAATGACTTTACTCCATTGTGGTATTTTTTATTTAAAAATAAATTAGTAGCTCCAACCATCTCAGCAAAGTTATTGTTACAGCTAGTATTTCATTGTTAAAATTACAGTCAGGGTTTCTACACTATAATTGCACATTTGAAAAATAGAAGACTAAAATTTCATTAGCTACATTTTGATAATTAACTGAATGCATTAAACTGCAGCCTTTTCTTGGATAGCTTTTCTAAATGGCTTTAAACTTGCAGTATTTTGGTGATTTAGATGGAAATATGCAATTGGAAACTGGAAATGGGAGTATAATGACCTCAGTTTTTTGGATGGTATATCAATATTAAAACTAATAAATTCTTTCAGAATGTATGACTTTTGCTAAATTAAAAAGAATGTTGATCAGTTAAATGAGTCAGCTGCTGCATAAAATATCTTCTTATGTAAGATTATCACAATGTCCCAGATTTGATCTTGCTCAAGAACAACTTGATGTATTCAATTTGAAATATAAAAGTATAAAATAAACTTGAAGTATAACTTTTCTTGGGTTAGCTTTTCTAAATGGTTTGACCTTACAGGATTTTGGTGATTTACATTGAAATATATACAGTGAGAAACTAATAAATGTGAGTAAGGTGGCCTTAGTTTTAGATTATATTTCAATATTAAAAATCATACATTCATGATGTAGGACTTTTGAGAAAAAAAGTATTACTGTATGTTGAACAAATAAATGTGTCAAATACTGAACCCAATCTCTTCTTATGTAAGTTTATTAAAATGCCCCAAGGTTGATCTTGCTCATGAAAACATAAAATTTGAAATATCATCATATATGTACAGTAAGTGATTTTCTTCATGGTGACTCAAACCCTTCATGAGGCATCACCAGCTAAAAAAATAAATAAAATAAAACCCTCTCTCCATATATTTTTTTTTCTAGGGCCTACCCTGCATAGGTATACAATCCTAAAAAATATATGAATATAAGACTAAGGAAAAAGAACACAGTACAGTATTGCATTAAAAATAAAATAAAAATAAGAGACTGAGAACAAATCGGGCGACCGAGACCAAGAAGATGAGCTCAAGTCCAGTTTTTCTCCCCCCCCCCCCCTCCTCACTTAACGGTAGTCTTTCCTTTTCTCTCTCTCTCTGGGTGCTTCTTTCATTCCATTCATTGTTATTCTTCTCTTCTCATCTCGTGGTTCTCTTAACGGACTCGTTTCCTCTCTCTCTTCACAGTGTGTGTGTGTGTGTGTGTATTCCTTTTTCTCTCTCTCTGGGTGCTTCTTTCATTCCATTCATTGTTATTCTTCTCTTCTCATCTCGTGGTTCTCTTAACGGACTCGTTTCCTCTCTCTCTTCACAGTGTGTGTGTGTGTGTGTGTGTAATTGTATTTCTTTTCTTGATTGTATATAGGTATATACGGTATAGAGAGAGAGAGAAAAAAATATTAAGAAATGGGGAAAAAAAGGGAATGAACCCGAGTTGCCCACTGTTCTTGTCTTCGCTTGGCTGACAGTTTGTGACTATCCATGAGGAAAATCGGGTTTTCAGTTTTACGCAGACTGGCTTTTAAGCCCTGTCATCTCGTGTGAGATGAAGTACTGTACTGTACTGCGTCTTAGATGGATAGTTGAGTGAATGGACAGACTCAAATCTGATAAGAAGACGGTCATTTGAAGAAGAAAAAAATATATACATATTTTTTTGGGAACGAGAGGTGACACGTTTCCGCGCGGAATTGAAATGATCTGAAATTCCAAGAATTTTTCGAAAATTTTCTTTTCTTATGTTCACTAGTTCTAAGGGGCTAGGACACCTTTTAAATGTCATCACCCCCAGTTTTTAAACACTAATCAGCCCTTTTGATCCATGATGGGCTGAAAAAACAGGCCTTGAAATGTTCAGTTGTTAAATTTTGAAGCTTCCCCTAGAACAGCATCAACAAGGTGATCCGCGTGGAATTGTGTAATTTCTTGTAATTTCCCCTGAGACAAATGGAATGTATTTGGGATGGTTTATTCAAAATTTATGAATCAATATAAACTGGAATAAGATCACCTATTGACCTCAAATGTTTGATTCAAGATTTTTTCACTTTTGGCTCATGAGTCATCTCATTTTGTTGGGCAGTATTGGGATCTTATTAAAAGTCAATTTTAATCATATGGCTTTTTTGGCCTTATAAATCCTTTTCAAAATATCCTAGAACTTAGGTGGAAGGATGATTGGGTCAACAGACTTAGTGTAACGCAATAAGAAGTCTGCAGCATGGAAAATACAGTGAAACCCCCAGATGCGGACATAATTGGTGCATCAAGAGTGTCCCTATGTCGGATTGTCCCCAAGTCGAATCTTGTTTTCCCATAGACTTACATTGTATAATTTTTAATTGGTGTTTTATGGAAGAAACCTTCTTCAGAATTTCATGAAAAAAAATTTTTGCCACTTGAATTTAATTCAATGAATATCGTTTCAAACCATACACCTTTCATTTGGAACATTGAATAGTGTACCTCTGTACATTAAATTGAAAAGTCGGCATCTGGAAAAATAACATCCATGTCACAAAGAGAGGTGGAAGGAAGTCTCTCTGTGCTATAGGGCATTTTTTAAATTAGCTGAATGGATGGGAAAATGATGGGAAAAGTACCAAAGAATTTTTCTTGCATAGATCTTAGGCTGGAAACATCTGTTTATTGCAATTAAGCCTTATAAAAATCAATTTTCCTAAAATTTATTTTGGAATTTTATCCTGCAATGTCCCCAGGCCGAGTCAATGTCCTCATGTCGGGTCTTTTTTATGATTTTTTTCCTAAAAAAATAAATGTCCCCAGGTCAAATTGTCCCCATGTTGAGGCATCTGCATGTGGGGGTCTCACTGTATGTTGAATTGGTTGTGTGAACTGTATTTATTCTGAGATAAATGGGATGTTTGAGTCAAAAGAATTGAATCAATGTCAACTAAAAACACATCACCTCTAAAATATATCAACTGTCAAAGTTTGATTTAAGATTGTTACCACTTCTCCTCATTAGTTATCTTTTACAAAGCATTGGGATTCCTAAGTCTTACTAAAAGTATATAGTAATTCTGCTGTGCAGTAATTTTCATCTTGGCTATTTGACCTTGAAATCGCTTTTTAAGTTATCCTGGATGAAATTAGATTAAAGTATGATTGAGCCAACAGACAGACTGTAATCCCAAAAGAAAACTGTTGCATGAAAATATCTTCAATTAGCTGTGTGAATTTTACTTCTCTTGAGATATAGGGATGCTTTGAGTCAGAAGAGATAAATCAGTGTTAAGTGTAAAACATTACCAGGAAAATCTATGGACTGTCAAGGTTCAAACTAGGATTTTCACTCTTGCTTCTCATAAATTGTCTTGGTGCAGCATTGGAATGCTTATTTAATCTTACTAAAATTCAATGACCATAAGGTTCATTGTTTTGACTGTGAATTCTAACATTTTCATCATTTTTTTTGCTTGATAATCTCATCTAAGATACAGTATATCTTTAATGAATGGATGCTTGAGTCAACAGACTTACTGTAATTCAATAAGGAATATCTCTTCAGAGTTCAGATATAAACATAAGAAAAATTGGATATAAATAAATAAAATATATATACTGTATATATATTGTTATCCCTGGAAACGTAGTAGATGTACGTGTGTCTCCTTTAATCAAGGTTTGGAAATGATCAAGTACTAAAGTCTTTGCCAGACAAAAATAGTCTTTATTCAAATAAGCAATATACACAACAGTGTAATCAATTAACCACAAGACACGGGGATCTGATGACTTCTGAACTAAACTGTCTCCTGAGCTAAAATGCCTATCTTCCTTAATCCTACCAGGGGTTTATATACCACGGATTTGGGGGTACAACCAGGAATGGGAAAGGACACCTGTGTGCGCATGTTCACGTGTCATTTTACAACTTCAACGCCCCGGGGGTTATTGCGCAGTTAGGGGGTTGCCATGCGCTGGGGTTGCTAAGCGCATGTTGTTGGGGATACACGTGTTGGTCAGTACACATGTACTGGGATGGAAGAATATTAATATAATCATTATATTAATCTATCATCTCTTCCTGGTGTCATTAAAAACACCAAATATAAATATTTGCAGGAATGCAAATATTCTTGCAATATATCGGGGAATTATCACATAATTTCCACCGATAACAATATACAGTATATGAAATTATGAGAAAAATACAAATAAATATAAAACTAGATATAAATATAAAATAAGGATGCTTAATTCATCATACTTGAAGCAGTGTCAACTTTAATGACTGTAGAATCTGTTGACCAAGGACTGCATATAGTCTGGTTTTATTCTCAGCTTATCACCCTTTCTTCTCTAAAAAATTATATCAGATGTAAAGATGCCTTTGTTGGTCTTACTCTGAATGTTCATGTTAACTTAGAAATATTGGCTGTGCAGTAAACAAGTAAAAGAACTGAAACAAATCGGAGACTTCTGTTGTCTTAACACCATAATTAGTTCAACATTTGAGTGATAAAATATATTAAAAAAAAGAAAAACGTCCTCACCGAAAACACACACATACACCACACGGAGGTAGCAGTGTTGCCAGGTTTCAGGATGAGTAGTAACTCGCGTACCCCGATTGCCTGGCAACACCGGGACATGAACTTCTACCACCAGAACCCCTATGGTAGACAGAGTGAGTGTCAGCATTTTTTTAAAAATTCTCTACAAATTTTATTTCTTCCTTTAAATTACAACAAAATTGTATATTTTCTCCTTTTTTTAATCACAGGAAATTAATTGAAAACCATCTTTCCATTTGTAAAAGAAAATTGATATTTAATTATTCTAAAAATGGTGGAGACTCTATTGTATCAGTCTCAGTGGATGATTGCCTCTGTGGAATCATGAAGAATGCATGTGGCATTGAAAAAAAAAGTCCGGTTCCAAAAGGAAAAACATTGGGGTACCAATAAACGGAGTACCCTTATAGTACCTAAGGTCTTTAACACCTTACAGTAGTCCTTAAATTAGTTACTGAAAAGTGTCGGTAGTCTAGAATGTGTGGTGTGTCAGAAAGATTATTGAAAACTGTGGTCCTGCAGAAGTAATGAGGAAAATTGTACAAGTTTGATCTTTTTTTTTAAATGTCATTTCATTCAACTTTACTTACATTTTTTGTTGGAATTGTCTAAAAATTGACCACACACTCCTGATTTTTAGATGAATGGATGTGATATTTTCATTAATTTTTATCACAGTAGTTTTGAATTTCAATTCTGTAATTTTGATACATTTTAAATAAAGGGTGCTCCAATTTTTTCAGAACTTGATTCATTTCATCCAATGGCTCAATGCTTTTCATTTTAAACCATTTGATTACACCCCTGACACAACAGAGGTTGCATTCCAAATTTTGAGTGTGTTTCCTTGAATTTTTCCTTTGTTTGTGAAATACTTTGTTATTTTTTCCATGGAAAATGAAAGAAATTGTTACATTCCCTGAAAACTAACCATTCTTCTCAGTTTTTAAATTGGGTTATTAGAAGAAATGGGTTTGGAAAAGCTAAAAAGAATGAGCATACAGGTGGTACCTTGCAATTTGACCCTGATCCATTGCCAAACTATGGTAAAATTGCAAAGCAGTCAAATTCCAAGACTTTGTGAAATTCAATAAAATGAGTACAAAAAATGCAAAAGAAAGTTTGCCAAATTAGGTCAAATTGTGGGGCAAGGGTTGAATTTCAAATGAACCTCCGTGCAAATAATTTAAATGTTGAATTGCAGGATGGTCAAATTTTGGAGGTAAAATTGCAGGGTAAAGCCTGTATACTTTTAGAAGAACTTGGAGATAGACTTTCACCACAAATTTCCAATGGCTGGAATAAACTTCTGTATGCATAAGCAGTTCCCTTTGAATGCTTAATACTGATGTATTTTATACTTACTTGCCTCACATAAATTTTTGATTCATTATGACTGAAAATATAAATTGTCTTTGTCCAATTTGTAGCCCATTGAGTATAGGAAAAAGAGAGAGAGTGAGAGAGAGCAAGTTAATTAAAGTGCAATTTCCTCTGCAAAAAGTGACATAAAATTCCTGATGCTTCTCAGGATGAAAAAAAAATAATAATCTGTTTTACTGCAATTTTTTCAATGTTGAAAAAAACTTATTTTTTATTTTTGAATCTTAATTTTATTTTTTCTGAATAAAATTATTGTATTACAGTATTATATGGCGTGTTGGACAGGAATGCGGCAATTTAAAAAAGGGACAAAAAATTCCTGATGCTTCTCAGGATGTAAAAAAATAATAATCTGTTTTACTACAATTTTTTTAAAAGTTGAAAAAAAACTGATTTTTACTCTTTGAATCTTAATTTTATTTTTTTCTGAATAAAATTATTATATTTTATTTTATTTTTTCTTCAGGCGTGTTGGACAGGAATGCGGCAATTTCAAAAAGGGACAAAAAATTCCTGATGCTTTTCAGGATGAAAAAAATTAATCTGTTTTACTGCAATTTTTTTCAAAGTTGAAAAAAAAACTGATTTTCAACTTTTGAATCTTAATTTTATTTTTTCTGGATAAAATGATTAAATTACATTTTATTTTTTTTCTACAGGCGTGTTGGACAGGAATGCGGTGCCTCAAAACGGGGGAGCATCAGGCTCAACGTCAGACAGACGCAGTAGCAGCCGGAGTGGCGGACGCCAGGGTCGCCGCCCGGGTCCCTCAGGCCCCGCCCACCCAGCCTCGCAGACCACCGACACCACGCCCACTTCCCTGTCTTCAGACTCGGCCACTGAAACGGAAACCACGGTTGGCGCCGAAGGGTAAGTCTACGTACAGTAAAATTGACAATTGCACAACTTGGACAATAATCAGTCCATATGACACAAAAATTTGGCAAAATATTTTGATTACGAAGATAATTATAGGTATACTGTTATCCCAAACTGTTGGATGTAATCAAGAGCTTTTAAGACTATGCGAGAACGTCTTCTATGCGTTGTAGCTCTTTAGACTCTTATCCAATGATTACTGTTGAGATAATCCTTTGTCAAGAAGTGTTAGTCTTTATGGCCAGAGTAAAGCGAGTGAGACAAACTTCTCTTATTCCAATGATGTATATTTTGTGACATGCGCAACAGCAGTCCAGACCAGCAATGAGTGTTTGGACACTCCTTTATAGACTTTGGATGTGCAAGACAGGTGACTGGCTGCCCATGAATATAAGTAAACAGAAAGTAGGCTGAGTCATGTGAATGACTGGTTGCCAGACACTGTTGCAACATCCCAGTATGCCAATTCTGGTGCGTTGCTATGCAGAACTTTAACGCATGAAACTCAGTTTGATAACAGGGTATTTTTATGCTGTTTGAGGACTCACTAATATTATGATGACAATACTGTAGATGGTTTGCATTGGAATAAATTGACTCCACCTTCTTCCACCATCCCCCTCTCTCTCTCTCTCTCTTTTCTGCTGAATAATGAAAATAGCATTTTATTGATTTCTTCAAATTGTTTAATCAACTAAACCTTATCTGGGAGCAGGCTGAACACCTTGTACTTTAATTTGGGTTAAATAATTGCCTTATGCCACAATTTTCATTTCTGACATTTTGTTTTTGTTATCAGGGAAGGGAAGGAATTGTGCGTATTTACATCATTTGTGGAATTGTAAATTTTTGGGATGTGTTTTATTTTCTTTTAATATCCATTTGCAGCTTATTTCTCTGTTTTCCATTCTGATGTGATGGAATGTGTTTGGATGAATGTGGGTGGGGAAGGGTTGGGGTTTGGATGTGGGAATCTTGTTTGAACCTTGTGAATGCTGAAAAGCATAAAATGAAGCTTCCTGTGGATTCATTCATTGATTCAAGAACGTATAAAATAAAATTTAAGTTTACTGTATTTGGGAAAATGGTCTTTTCCAAATGTTTTACTCTGAATGCCTTTCAAATTTTAAACATGTCCCCTTTATTATTTTTTTTAAACATATTCAGGAACTTAGCTTCAAAATTTTTTTTGGATCAATCTGAGGGAAACAATTTTGGGAAAGCTCATTTGCAAGAGGGCAATGATTAAATGTAGAGTTGAAAGGAAATTCAGTTGTATTTTTATCCAGGGAAAACTTCTTTTCCCACCTCTCTCCCCTCTTATTCTAGGGTAATCAAAGTTTCTGAAATCCCTTTTTTTTCTCATGGCATTGTTGTACCTTTTATTTTTTGGGGTTAAGGTACTTGGATTCAGAATTCTTGTCTTGATTTCATCAGGGGGAAAGTATAAGATACACTGGTATCCTATCTCTCCCCTCTCACATAATAATCATTCCAGGGCATTTAAATTTTCTGAGATCCAGTTTTAAACAGTAAAAATAACATGGAATTACAAAGTCACATGCACAATTTATTAGTACATTAAAGGTTCCACTCTGCAATTATCTCAAATACTCTAAATTTTTCCTGACTTACAAAGAGAAACTCACATTGAGGGATTTTTGTAAAGGGGAATCCTTGGCATACCTGGTGTCTCATCTGTTCCCCCTCCCAATTCAGGGCATTTAAATACCCCATGGTCAAGATTTTGTCCCCAAAAATATATATATATCTGAAATGAATAATCCACATGAAGTCTTGGGAATACAGTAAAGTACTAGAATTCAGGAATTTTTCATCATCTCCTTCTTGTTATAATCAGAAGTCAAGATGTAAGTTTAGTTTCTGTAGTCAAGTAATCCAGGTGATTTGGCCAGAAAATGTTATTTCTCTTGCATACTGACCCTCACAAGAAAATAAAGGAGATTTTTTTTGAAAGTTCTGGATTAAAATAAGTGCCAATTTTGCAAGTAGATTATTACTCAATTGCAACCTTAAAAAATATACTCTAGGAAATGCTAATGCCTTTGCAGACATATATATATTTCCTTTGCCTCATCATACAATCCAGGTTTTTTTTTTGGGTCACCGGGATGGTTTCTGTGAGGGGGGAAACTTTGGGATATCTGCTGTACCATCTCTTCCCCCCTCCCCCCCCCCCCCCCCCCCCCCCCCCCCCCCCTTCGAATTCCAGGGCATTCACATTTCCTGAAGCCCGTGTAAATAGGGAGGGAAACGCCATCCCCGGGCGTGCCCGCATTTTTCCCTGTGCCCTGGGGCGAAAAAAAAAGAAGTCCCAAGTCCAACTAACTCAAAGGAAAAATAAAAATCGATCTGCCCTTGGGGGGCATTGGAGAAATTTTCTCGGAATGCCTCGCACAGGGTGACCCCAAAAACACCAGTGAGCTGAATTCATTAAAAAATGAAGAAGGAAAAAATCAGGCGCCCCTCAAGAATCTCAACAAAATTATGATTAAATGCAAGAATGAATTGATCGAATATCATCATCTGTTTTCATGGGGTTTGTGAAATTCCTGCCAATTACTATCTTCATTTTCCTCTGCTCTACAATTTTTTTTTTCAAATTCTTTCTGTGGTTTTAATTACAGTATTTTTCTTCATTTCATATTTTAAAAATGCGACTGAGGATGACAAGGCTCAATAATTATTTTTGTGATCAAATGATTCTGGGAGATTTAAGATTCAAATTTTCAAATGACTTTCTGCATGGAATTTGGATCTTAAATAACATCTTATTTTTAATTAATTTTTTAAGTTACATTAAATGCTTTATTTTTATTAGTTGTAGATTTATTTATATATTTACATTCATTTATATTTTTAGATTTATTTTTATATGTATTTTCAGATTTACTCATACTTTTAGATTGAATGAATTCCTCATGCCCCTTTGATCTTGAAAGAAATTTAATTTTTAATGATTTTTTCTATATATTAAATTTAGTATTTTTCGTTTGTCAAAGATTTATTTATATTTTTAAATTTATATATTTGTAGATTTATTTATACTGTATTATTTGTAGATTTCTTTATACTGTACTACAGTATTTGTAGATCTATTTATATTTGTAGATGTACAATATTTAATAAATGTATCTACAAATTTATTCATTCTGTATTATTTCTAGATTTATTTATATTTGCAGATATATTTAATAAATATATCTACAAATTTATTCATATGTGTAGATTTATTTATATAAATATATTTGTAGATTTATTTATTTAATAATAGATTTATTTATATTTGCAGATATATTTAATAAATATATCTACAAATTTATTTATACTGTATTATTTGTAAATCTATTTTTATTTGTAGAATTATTTGCATTTGTAGATTTATTATATTTGTACATTTACTTATATTCATATATTTATTTAATTTTTTTTAATGTAGAAGGATGTCAGCAGCAGCAGCGGGAGGCGGTTCAGGCGCCCATCATCACATGTACTACGCAGCGCCGCCACTGCCGCCGCACATGCACCATTCCGGCGCCAACGACGGCACACTCCGGTCTTCAGCCTCGATGCACGTTCCAATGTACGCAACGGCCGGCGGCGGCGGTGGTGGTGGCGGAGGCGGCGCTACTCTAGACGGCGCCCCGTGTCCCGTGCACCACCACCACGGCGCCGAGACGATAGTGGGCGGCTCCATGGTCGGCACTCTGGGCCGGGACGCCGCTTCCATGCAGCCCATCTACGGGGACGCCTCGCAGTTGTACATGCCGCTGTCCGTGGCGTCCTTCCCGAGGCGGGCGACGAGTGTGTACGACGTGAGGATGGCGCCGGCGTCCCTGCCGCCCTACGGCACGCTTCCGATGCCAGGTTGGTGTCGATGGGATTTTTTTTTTGTTTTCTTGTTTTTTTTTTTTAAATTGCGAAAATGTTTTATTTTTATTTTTTGCTGTCTTTATTTGTGTCATTATATAAATTGTTGGCAGTTTTTCGTAAACCGTGAAGAAAGAAAGGAAGAAAAAACAAACAGTGTTATATTTTGTCATTTCTATTACCGAAAATTTGTAAATTTCAAAAAATGAAAGGAATACAATTTTTTGAATTACTTGTACTCCATTCCGTAGTTCAGTAACTTTAAACTCATAATTGTAAATTAAATTACTGTACTTCGTAAAATACATGCTTCACAAGGGTTTATTAGGGTTTTTTCAAGTTCTTCGAAGGGATTAAATATTTGTTAATGCCCAATTTAGGAAAATCGCATTCTTTGACAACAATAATTTTGCAATAGAAAATTCATTCAGTCTTGTGCCCAATTTGATGAATAATTCAATGGAAAATAATAATTTTTCAAAGTTTGCTTTATAAATTTACAGATATGATGTTGAAAAAAAGCCGTGTTAGAAGCGTGATTTTTCTTTTACTCTTTTAATTTTTTAAATGATGATTTATCAATTTTGTTCCCAACTCAATTTTTCTACTTATTTTGAAGGAGTGAATTTCTGAATTGATATTTGCTGCTCACAGCAGATTCCAACATTTTGTTCAGTTTCTCAAGTGCAACATCCATAAAGGCAGAGAAAAGATCCTAATTACTCAATTTTGTCATGATAATTGTGATGTTGTAGATTCAAGTAAGTTATTAGCTGATCTTGCTTGTGGCAATACTAAACCATTAATACTGTATTTACTCAAGTACCACACGCACCTTTTTTCTGTAATCTCAGAGGGAAAAAAGGGGTGCGCGTCATAAGCGGTTACAAATTTTTCAAGAAATTTTAGGAAGTTATGTGTGCATTATACTTAATCATAATTGAGAAATTTGGAAAAAATGTAACAAAAAACTTTTTTTAACTGAAAAAGTTGAAAATTGATCAGATTTCTGTGCAATTCATGTCTAAAGTCAACTTTCTTGTTTTTATTTGTGATATTTTGTGGTTTTAGATTCACTAAAAATTGGGGTGCGCGGCTTATTACTTGGGGATACGATTTTAGCCAAATTTCCAACTGAAAAACCCCTGTGCGCACCTTACTTGATTTGCATCATTGAACATCCCTTGGATACATGATACACTGTAGCTCTTTTGAGAAATTCAAGGCACTTGATTAAAAAATTCATCCAATTTTCAAAGGTGACTAAATGGTGTAATTTCTGAAGCGTGAAATAAATTGGTTGGTGCAATTGCCAGAGAACCTTCTCTTCTTATGCCCAGCAATTCAATACTGATAGAAATGAGCTTAAGAATGATTCACAAGTTTTGGAATCCAATGAAGAGACCCTTTCTGAAATCATGAAGAATCAAGATCAACTGTTGACCTTATATGATTTATCATCAAAGATTCTCTCTACATTTTTCATTCAATTAAACCGTATCTGGGAGCAGACTGAAGACCTTGTGTTTTAAATTGGGTTCAGTAACTGCTTGCTGCAAATGCTATAATTCTGGCTTATGCTGCAATTCTTTTTACTGATATTTTGTTTCTATGTCAGGGAAAGAAGGGGGTGTACACATACATACCAGTAGTGCAATTGTACATTGTGGAATGTATTTTCTTTTATTTTGGATCCATATACAGCTTGAATGAATGAACAGAACACTTTATTTGCCGCTTTTCAGCATTCACATGGTACAATCAAGATTTCCTCATCCAAACCCCCTCCCCACCCAACCCAAATCTTCTCAAAGACATTTAATCACTTCAAAGCAGGAAACAAAGCAAAAGCATACACAGCGTATTTCTTGGTTTCCCATTCTGGAGTGATTGAATGGTTTGAAATTTGAATGGATTTGGGTTGGGTGGGGAGGGGGTTTGGATGTGGGAATGCTGATTGAACCTTGTGAATGCTGAAAAGCCAAAAACAAAGCTTTCTGTTCACCTTCACCAACATTTTGTTTTCAAATTAAAAACCAAATTCAGATGGCTTCAATTATTAGCTTTGAGGAGGTCACTTATTCTGAATTTAATTGAGAAAACTTTGTTGTTTACTCTTGATTTGTGATTAATTGTTTGCTGTAGTAATTGAAATATTCCTGAAAAGCAAAAATTTAAATTTTTGAATTTTGCTGAATTTATTTTTTCCAAATTTTTAAAATTCTACCAAAATCTGGAGTGCAAAAAAGATTTTGCTGAATTTATTTTTTACCAAATTTTTAAAATTCTACCAAAATCTGGAGTGCAAAAAAGATTTTGCTGAATTATTTTTACCAAATGTTTAAAATTCTACCAAAATCTGGAGTGCAAAAAAGATTTTGCTGAATTATTTTTACCAAATGTTTAAAATTCTGCCAAAATCTGGAGTGCAAAAAAGATTTCGCTGAATTTATTTTTACCAAATGTTTAAAATTCTGCCAAAATCTGGAGTGCAAAAAAGATTTTGCTGAATTATTTTTACCAAATGTTTAAAATTCTGCCAAAATCTGGAGTGCAAAAAAGATTTTGCTGAATTATTTTTACCAAATGTTTAAAATTCTGCCAAAATCTTGAGTGCAAAAAATATTTAACTGAATTATTTTTACAAAATGTTTAAAATTCTGCCAAAATCTGGAGTGCAAAAAAAAAGAAAAGAAAAAAGAGTCAATAATAGAAAGACTACATCCTGCTGCTCTTTCCTGCATTTCATTAGGGTTCGGTGGGCCAGGTGGCCCAGCTGGTGGCCCATTCTCCCTCCCGATGCCCATGCCCATGCCCATGCCCACCATGACCCTGCGAGAGCCCCGCCACTCTCGTCGCTCGAGAAAACACCAGCAGGCCGCCTCCATGATGCTGTTGCCGGTCATGATGCCGCCGCCGCCACCGCATCACCCCGGAATGCCGCCACATCACCACCTCCACCACCACCAGGGCGCGGCGCCACCGCCACAGCGAAGACCCACGTCTCCGATCCCGCCGCACCTGTTGCCGCCCATGATGCGTCCGCGGCCCTACGTGTTGCCCGCGGCGTCCTCGGGCGCCGCCGCCGCCGCCGCCGCTGCAGCTGGCCTCGTGGAGCCAGAGCCGCTGCCGATGAGAGACCCCGAGAAGGTGAAGGCGTCCGTGGACGCCGTGTACGGCGGCATGGACGACATGGACTTGAAGAAGACCGGCGGCGGCATGATGATGATGATGAATGGCCAGCAGCAGCAACAACAACAACAACATCAACGGATGAATAATAATAATAATAATAATAACAGTAATAATAATAATAATAAGGAGAAGAAGGTGCAGTGTTGCAAGGGACACTGGTTGGTGGTCTGGATTATTTTGGGCGTGGCGGGATTCGGCGTCCTTTTGGCAGCTGTTTTGAGTCTGACTATTGGCTGAGTTTCTGGGCCCTGTTTGTCTACCTCAGGATAAAGAAGGAAGAAGAAAGCAAAAAAGAAAAGAAAAACAAACCCCTTCCCCCCCCTTCCCCCCCCACAAATCTGTAAATTTCAACAACAACTTTTAATCCAATATTTCAGGGTCATTTGGAAATGTTCTTCATTTGTTTTTGTTTGTTGCTGTTGATGCTGTTTTTAGCTGCTAATTAGGAAGAAAAACAGTCTTTCTGGAAATCATACTTTTTAATTTGGCTTTTTTTGGTTTGTTTTTGTTTTTTTGCTGGAGATTAAGAATGAAAAAAGAAAAGAGGAGCACTTTTCAAAGGTTCAACCTTTTGCAAACCTCTCTTGATTTTTTTTCTGGGCCAGAGGAATTCTTTTTCCAACCAGTTTCATTTTTGTTTTAAAATCTCATGGATATTTTTTTTGAGAAAATCCTTGACTATACTGTACTGATTAAGGTTTCAACTTTTTAAAAATATTTTGTTTAATTTGGTGATTTTGGGTTGTGAAAACAATTTCAACCTTCAGAATTTGAAGCCCTGCTGCAAACCCATCTTGTAGCTGCTGGGATATTTGTTTACATTTAAATACCTTGTGTGTGTGTGTGTGTGAGGAAAACATTTTAATTTTGCATGTTTCAGCTGCTTGACACCTTTTTTTTTTGGTGTAGCAAGATAGGTTTTCCAATTTTCCTGTTTTGAAGAAGAAACCTTTTCTTTCTTGGTTTCTTTTACAAATTTTTTGGGAGATAAAATCAAAGACTAATTGTCAACAGAAAATCAAGAGATCTGACAAATATTGCTAAATTGTCTTGTTATGGATGAACTCTTGCAAAAGTTATGTTTTTTTGTTGATTTATTTGTGTTGAGGAAGCTTTTGTTGATTCTGTTGGATGGAAACTTTGTTAACTCCTTTTTTCAATGTTGGGTTTCATTTTGAAAAAAGTCTTGTCCATCATCTCAGATTATTCCAGATATTGCAAATCTACTGAAGGAGAGAAAGCCATTCTATATCTTCATTGCCAAGGGAGGTGAAAATATTGTTGTTTTGTGTCAAATGTGTTTGGGAGTGTGTGTGTGTTTTTTTTTCAAGTTGTGGAATTTTATGAGAGAAGGTTCCTGATGGTGAATGATGCTGGTTATGTTTTTAAATGCAAGGAAATGTGTGGATTGAAAAGAACTTTCCATGTGACCCTCAGTGAAACTCATCCCTATCCCCCCAAAAATAACACACACATTCCTGTCCCAATTGCTCAAGAAAAGTGGAGTGATTTCATTTGTTCTTCAGGGAAGAACCAGAATTTGAAAATGGATGTTATCTTATTTTGATCCGTCAGAATGTATTGAACAATCCAAAAATGAAAAGGATTTCTTTTATTTTCCTCCCCCCACTTTGGTGGTGAACAGCATTTTTTTTTCACCACAGGGTAGGTCATGTACTGGAACAGCACCAAAAGTACATTTCTCTCTGTGGGGGGTTGCATGTTACTGGATTCCATTTCTACTGGATTTTAAATATGCACAGCTGATGGAAAATTGGGCAGAAAATTGCAGGATGGAAACAGGAGGTAGTTGATTCTTCAAGTGATTGAATTAACAGCTGTGGCAGGGAGGAATTAATGTGGATCCCCTTTTTTTTGCTGAATGGAACCAAACCATCTGTTGTCCATGATGATGTGTCTTGAGAAAACCACAAACAGAAATCCACTTGTGACAGCCCAATGAAGGTTCCACAGCATGGCAACTCCACCATCTGTCCACCCCATCCTCTTCTATTTTTTTTATGGTAAGAAGGTTACCCTTAGTCCCATTACTCCTTACACTAATGTTAATGTTAGTGTACTTGTACTAGAGGGGGGAGGAGTGTTCACAGAGAGGCAGTTTAAAAATACATCACTGGGTTTTACCACAATTTTGGAGAAACATGGGAAAGGTTGAAGGTGTGTTAGAGTCTGAGGACTTTGAGTTGTATGGGAATGTTGGGGCTCAGGCTGTGGACATGATTGCAAGGGCTTTAAGTGGCATCAGTGAAGGTTTGTGTGGCATCATTAAAAAAAAAACACTTCAACAATGAGAATTATAAAGTTGGGGCAAATTAACTCAGTAAAAGAATATGTCTACAGTGTGCTCATGAAACAAATCATTACATGGTGAGCTCTGTTTTGATGACTTATTCACTTAATTTAAGATTGAAAAATACTTCATCAAATCCTCTCTATAAGATACCTTGAAAATTCCATCCTATTGCAGAAAACAACTTAATGGATAAAAAATAATAGGAAACATAAATTATAGGTAATCCAGAAAATTTGATATGTTTTCTAAACTCACAAGGACATTTCTGAAATTGAGCTAGAAGGAAAATCATTGTTTTCTTTAGTACAAAAATATATTTGGTATGTAAAAATTCTATGTTAAACTCTTAATAACATATTAAATCTTGAAGATAATCATGTGAAACAATTTTTTGGAGACACACTGTTTCTTAAAAATCTTAGTTTTGCTAATTTTTCTTCCATTGCTGGATTTTCAAGGAACTTAAGGAAGTAAAATTTTCTGTTTTTAAAATATTGTAAAAAATTTTTAACATTTCTTTTGTCAAACCAAAAGGGGTTTTTTTTAAATTTTTTTGAGATACATTTCCTCATTTTCAAAAAACCTTATGAATCTCAATTTACATTTAGCCTCTGAACAAAAATTCTCAAATTTTAGATTATTGAGGAAATACATTACGTCCATGATATCTCATGAAAAATGTTGCCAGGTGTCACTGCATGTCCATATCCTATTCATTCAAATTAAAATTACCAAAATTACTGTATGTGTGCCTGTGAATTGTTTTCAAATAACCTTTTAGAAACTAATTCCTACAATAATCATAACTATTGCATTTAATTGCACAGAGACAGACAGTGACTCACAGAGAAAATCAAGTGACAAAGACAAAAGGGACTCAAATTCTGAACACATGCCAAGTTTGCAGAAATTTGACTCAATGTCAATTACTGCTGGAGATGGATCAAAGTTTCGACGCCGTTCTAGTAAACATTGGGACGAATCGGTTTACGATACAAATAGCAATAATACTCAAAGTGGAACAACGGAGGTTATCAGCTCTGCTGCAGAGGCGACATCTGCTCAAATGACAGAAAAACACACGTCCGCGGAGATTCCGAAAGCAACTGAAGATGTCGCTGAGAATCGGGCCTCGAAGCATGGAAATAAAGTTGGTTTGAAAAAAATAGTCACCAGGAAAGTCAGAAGAATCTTCAAAACCAAACCAGTGGTTCATATGAGTAAAGGAGTCATTGTTGAGTAAGTTCAATTTTTAAAACATTTTCTCCAGTTCCATAAGTTTATTTCACTTTTGCTCAGAATAATGGAGCTTATATAAATTTTGTGAAATTGAATTTATAGACCTTGAAAACACTAATTTCTGCACTTCTGAGAAGGATGACAGCAATGATTTTATCCCTGAATTGTTAATTACTTCTTCTGACAATTTTCAATTTAATTAGTTTTTCTTTGCTGCACCAAATATCTGTCAAATGATTCACTTCAAGCTGGACTAAGTATTTGAATAAATTTTGATGTTTCAGAACCAAGCAAGTGAGTGTTCCTGTCCACTCATTTCTACTTGGAGAATCTCCAATACCATACCAATTCAAGGAGCTGAAGAAAAACAAGAAGAAAATGTCAGGTAGAAGCAGAAGAAGCAGCAACAATACCAGGGTGGCTGATGTCAGTGAGTCTCTTTTCAATCCTCAAAAACTAAAAATAACATGATTTCATTCATCCAAAATGTCAGTAACATATTAAGGTACAGTATTAAGGTATAAACTGATTGTTGCAGGAAACTTGTGTGCATATAATTGTGAGGGTGGATGTTCCAAAAAAAGAACTCACAGTTTATACAATCAGTGTTGTGTAGTGTTTCTCAAGCATCCAAACTGAAAATAAGTTCTATACACCCCTTTCAACTTTAGTTTGACTGGGTTAAATTTTTTTCCATTGAAACACCCTCCATCTTCTCAAACCCAGAAACAATGTTTGGAAGAGGGGATGTTAAGGTTAATTTTGAAGGATTTTTGTCCTAGATTCCACCTTCAATTTATGTCTTAAGAACCAAGTCAAAGTAACTTTTTAAATTGAAAATTTGAGACCGTGCTTGCCTTCATTGTTAAAAAAGTTAAAAAAAGGAAATGTACAAGGTTTTCCCCTGCAGCTGTTTCCTTGTTTTGAATTATCTCTTCTCACATCACCCCATGTTAACAGCATGATGCATTTCTCTTTTTTTAAAGAAGCTAATTTCTCTCTTCACTGCCACCAGCAATGAATGCTTTTGCACCTTTGTGCCTCTGGAATACAGATTTCAAAGGAAATACAGTATCTTGAGATGTATACTGTGTATGTATTGTGTTTAATTGTGATGCAAATATTACAATATTCAAGAAATCTCTAACTGAGACCCAAATAATCATGAATATACAATATATTCATTAAGGAAATCCTGGGTGTACTACAGTTTTTGCAAATGTGCATATATTATCTGAGGAATTGTATAATCCCTCCGAATCAATCCTTTGTTGAGTGTGGTTACTTCTCAAAAAGACTCAAGTGTTTAGCAAGACTTTCTTAATTTTTCTATTCTATTATTGTTGTTTGACTAATGCTTGACAGCAGATATATATTCTTTACTGTATTGTCAATATTGTTTTAACGTCCGCAGTGGGAGGAATGACCAGTAGGATCCTACAGGGGTCTGGGGGGGAATAATAAGGACGTCGTGTAACGTGTTTCTGTGGCCTTTTGCACCTTGAATTAATTTGCCTACTTGAAAACGCATCAATTAACGTTAAGTTGTCAGGATGGCCAAGTGGTCTAAGGTGCTGCGTACAGGTCACAGTCTGGTTCTGCAGGCATGGGTTTGAATTCCACTTCTGCAATTGTTTTTTCATTTTTGTAAAATTTTTTAATCCGCACTGCGGACGCTCTACTACTTGTTTTGGTTAGCTCAGACAACATATACTGAAACATTTTTTGTACTATTATTTTTATAAGGTTTTACTGTAAATAGTCACAGATGTAACTATACAGACTGTTCAGGGACTGTTGATCACTTCACATTCAACCCATGCTATCCTAAAATCTCATCCAACAGTACTTGACCAGACTTAATAATCAAAGTGGACCCACTATATTTTTTTGTCTTATGCATGTACAAGTAGGCATATACTTTTCCACAGAGGTGAAGAAAAGATCCACTGCTGTCAAAGACAATCCATTACAACCCCTGCCAGAAAATGGGATGTCCCCTGCTGTTAATGCCCTGCAGCAGAAGTTCTCTGAAATGAGGACTTTTTCCAAAAACAGGGATATGCACCACAATAAGGCCCCAGCAGTGCCCCCAAGGGAGCCTCAAGAGTCTCTTTTTCAAAACAACTATCCTGTAGTCCACAGGTACTATGTTACCCCTGCCAGTGGGAAAAAGAGGAGACAGAGGAGCATTGGTGGGGATGATGAGCCCAAGCATAGGCCATATACTATGGCTGACTTTGTGCCCAATAGAGAAGGTCAGTCACACATCTCACATGGAAAGGCCAACTTAAATTGATAACAAAAGTTGCCATTGGTTTTTAATAATCAGGCTTGAAAGCTGCACTATTTGGCCAAGATGACTCCTTGAGTTCAAATTCAAACCATGAGCTAATTGGCCATGGTAATAAGAAAATGGCTTCCAGGGGAAAGTCCAGAAGGAAGTCCAGGGACCAACAGCTTCAGGTGCAACCAGAAGAGCTGATCCTGCCATTGGACCCTCCAGCCTTATCAGGAGGAGGCTTCTTCAAGAAAGTGTCTGACTTTTTGAGTGCCCCTGCTATGGCCAACTCTGCTTTGTCCAGAAGGGTGGATTCTGTCCCTGATGCTGGTTGGCTGTTTGGCAGGATGTTCATTGGCAGTCAACAAAGTAATCTAATCACAATTTTACTTAATCAATTGTCACAACTACTGCATATGACTGTTGATTTTATTCACTCAGTGACTCATGGATCTCCCAACAACCATGAGGACACTGTTGGCTATGCAGCAAGTTCACCTCAAGAAGACCAGTACTCAGCAGGACCTGACACTAAACACACTGGAGGAACTACACAGTACCTAAGTTCCCAAGGACCAGCAGTTTCTCCATCAGCTTCTGATGCAACAGCAACTGAACACACACTATCTCAGGACCCCTTTGAGGCCTACTGTGGTTCAAGCAATCAGGGTTCACCAACCAAAAATTCAAAGAAAACCAAGGATGAGCTTGTTTCTGAAGAGACCAGCACCTCCAAGCGGCTTTCTGGGGTAGAATCAATTAATTGTAGTGCACCATGTTCAGAGATGGTTTTTGACCTTGAGTTTATTTTTTTTCCAGGGTAGTGATGTGAGTGAGTGTGCTCCTAAAATGAGCAAGGCCCAAGTCATGTTTGAACAAGCCAAGAGTATGATGAATTTGTTGAAGTTACTGAGGGTGAGAAAATGTTGGTTGATTTGAATGATGCAGTACTGTAAAATAAAATAAATGACTGATAATTAGATAATTACTTGTATTTGAAAAAGTCTCTGTAGAAGTAAGAGTTTGATTACAAACTCCTTGAAGTTTTTTCTTGAAAGTTCTCCCAAATAATGCAGAAAACAATCAATTTTTTGAGTAACCTCTTCATCACCTGAGAGGCAAAACTAAGTCACTACAGATTTTCTGGACAGTAATCAGTAAGAATTACATTTTTAATAATGCCACTCAATATAAAAAAAAAATTGATACTGTAGTTGCTGTGGTGGGTCACAAACCTAACAGCACTGTCTCAACTTTAACTTTATGTCCCAGGATGAAATTGCTTACATCAAAGAGGACATATTTGAGATCCAAACCATGCATGACTGTTGTGGTGTGGATGAGGTGATGACCAGCAGGGCAAGAGCCAAGAACAGGACAGCTTTCCCAGAAGGCCCCACCATTCAACTGGAGTCAGAGCCTTATGCATACCAAATAGTGGCCTACAAAACTGTATATGTTCATTCTACATAAATTGGCCCTTCACATAATCATATAGTTTTTTTTATTGCTCAGGTATTGAATATCTGGGCAAAAGAGTATGTGGATGAGGAGGTGGAGAGAAGGAAGCTTGACAAGAAGTCAGTTCTGCTGAGAGGGATGAGACTGCAGAAACATCTCAAGGAACAATTTATTTGTGTGAGCTAACAAATCCTGTTAGGTTTTTTTGTGTGGATAAAGTGCTGGAATGACTCCATTTTTACTCAAATGAAGGACCCTGCCCTGATCATGTCAAGGGACCTGAGACTGGAAGTGCAAAGAGCTGAGCATTTGTTGGGGGTTGAGTTGGATAGAGTGAGAACCTTGGAGAGAAACATACCAAAAATTGTAGAACTTGTGAGTTGACCCATGTACAGTACATCCATGTAACACCCTATACCAAAGGTTATTTTTGGTCTTATGTAAAACAGGGAAGGAGATTAGTTTGTTCCTGGCAAAAGAAAAAGTACCTTCAAGAAGTCATCCAAGTGTTATCTGGCCACCTGAGAGCCTCACCAGATGGAGACACTGCCATCACTCACATGCTTGAGCTCATGGAACCATCCACAGACTCCTATGACTTCCTCAGGCTCTTCTATTCTAACCTTGATGGTACTTCCATAACTGAAACTAATCCTGCTATGGAACCCACTTTTGAGCCTCAGCTGGGCCATGGGGTCAACTTCTGTGAGGCCAAAAAGCTCATCCACTTCATGAAATACAGGTTTGTTTTTGCTCAACCAAAAAAAACATCAATTCAATCAACCCACCATCTTATTGTATATTGATACAAATCCTATAGGCACTTGCATCCCTGGTTCAAGTTCCCAAAGAAAAATAAACTAGGTGGTGCTGGTCTGGATGTAAATGACTATGGATTCAAAGACTTTATGAAGGATGACAGGTTCAATTTCGAACACATGATCCCACAACAGCAAAGAGGGGTTGAAATGGGCGCAAGGCGTTTCCGCGTCATGTGGGACAGGTCAGTTATTTTCCTGATTTGTCATTAATCTTTCAAATATAAGCTTTCCAGACTGGATTATAATATAAACTATGCCTATTGTCTCAAGTTCTAGAGCATTTGTTGAAAGAAAATCGATGGATTAATCACCGTAAGCCTCTTTTTGACGGTTTTGATGCACGTGCGCCGAGAGCGACACCTATACACAAACTTTATAAACCGCAGGCGCGCAAAGACGGCTTTGTACAAGGCGATGACGCTCACCGACTCAATACGGAGTCTGGAGCACAACATGCAATTGGACTACAAAGCACCCCGTACCGTCGGCGACCTTTTCCCGCATGTGGCTTTTGTGCAGCGCCTGGATATCGACGAAGCACTGGTGTCCAAACCGCCTACAGTAGAAAAGTATGGGATCCCGGAAGTGTCAACTCGGTCTCCGAATTTCAATTGAGAAATATGGCGTATTTTTATTTTATTTTTTAATCGGTCTCAAGATATTATTGTTGTATACTGCACATGTTTGTTTCTCTCTCTCTTTTTTTCTATTTTTTTTCTCTTCTCTCCTCCCTCCTCTGGCAATAAATGCACGATTTAGTTTTCCACGGTTATATACAAGAAGAAAAAAAAAGAGGGATAGACTTTTTGAATTGACTCGATCAATCAAAAAATGTTCGAAAGTCGGTGGAGAAAATATTCCGGTGGTGGTGATGGGCTGAGCGCGTGTTCAAACTATTTGCCCAGCAGGAATTTTTCTCATTCTCAGTGTTGCCAAGCGGAAAGAGATGAAAGTAAACTCGCTTATTTCCTGAAGGTACGTGTTGCAATGAAGGCTTTATTTATTTTTAGTGGTATCGCGAAACGAATTTTCTGTTTCAACAATAGTTATTGAAAAAATATGCATCATTCAAAATAAATGGAATTTTTATACTCCTGCCTCTTTAAATTTTTAGGGATTCAATTTTCTGATGTGCGGATGAAAAACAGGGCGAGACCAATATTTAAAAAAAATTGGCTGCGCTAGTTTTAATTGAAAAGCCTGTAAGTACATTTTTTTAGAATATCTGAGAATGAGTCAAGAATTAAATCATGAAAAATCAAATACACAAGGCATAGTATTTAATTTTTGGACATGGACTCATATGTCCTGTTTTTCTGTGGATTTTATAGGGACATAGTTTAATTTTATTTGCTGAGTGAAAGCAACTGAATTTTAATCAACTTATTCTTGACTAAAATTTCCCAGTAAGATTTTTAAAATTTGTTGGAAACCCTAATCAGGAATAAGAAGGTTCAATAAATTTAGTAATTTTCTTGTTTTTGATCTTTCAATTTTTTTTGTGAAATTCTTCTGCTGAGAATTTTGGGAAATGAGTCCATCTCAATTTTTGCATGCTTATTTCAGAACATGAAAAATTGAATCAGAAGATGATGAATTTTAATTTTCAAAAATTAATCCATATTATGCATATATACATTATAGTTGTTCTTGGGATGATTCAAGGAAAAAACAAAATATTTTCCTCTTTTAAATATTTACAGACAATAGAATCTGTAGCTACCATCAAAATTAATCAATTAAAATTAAGTCCTTCAGGTCCCAGCTCATTTATAATATCCTCAATGTTGAAAGACTATCTTTGAGCAGAATTTCTTACTACAGTACAGTACAGCAAAGATATTTTACTGGTCCAATGACTTTGTTATACCAGATTTAACTGTAATCTTCTTGTAAATTAGCTGCAATTGGAGACCTCATTAAAAAATCTTTCCCTAAATCCCTTATTTTACACCTTAAGAAATTAGGCTCAGATTTAAAAAAAAATGAGGGTGGCAACTCTGTGTGTGATAAGACAAGCCTAGAACATGCATGAACACATGCCAGGAAACCTGTTTCTTGCTGGTTTGTTGAGGGAAATGATCAGGCACGAATTTCCTGTAAATAAGTATAGCCTGTGTGCAATGTGAAAATTTGATGCTATATCCCAACCAAGCTTTCATCCACTTCCCAAATAAGGTGTTTCATCTCATCATGTTAAGGAGAAGCAGGATAAAAATATATATGGAGTTTGATGACAGGAATGGCATGAAGCTGAGAAAAACATCATTTTCTAAACCCACTGCTTTTTAAAACCTCATTTGCCCTTAGGGTATGACCTGAAATGTTTATAGGTTCCTGCTTATTGCTGTGGTATGCAGTGAGACCCCCAGATGCAGACATAATTGATGCATCAGGAGTGTCCCTCAGTCAAAATGTTCCTAATTCCAGTCTATTAATACCATGAACTTACATTATAAAATTTTTAGTTGGTGTTTCATGAAAGAAATATTGATACAAAGTTCTTGTAGAAAATGAGTAAAAAAATTCTGCTGCTCAAAAATGATTCAATCAGTGTTTTTCAAGTCTTGAATGACATTTGGAGCAGTGGGGACATAAAACATTCACACAATGCACAATTTCTGTGCTAATACTGCTGAATGTTATGATCCATCAATTCATCAATTGTCCTCTCTTCCTTTCCTCTCCAGCTGTGGCATCTTTCTGATACTTTTTTTTTCATTCCACAGTTGGCCCATTTCCTGATTACTTCAGATGTTTTTGTCTTTTTAGGTGACATTTTCCATTTTTAAAATCCAGTCTTCTTGAAATGAACCTATAAAAAATTAGCACTTTGTTGAGCAACAAGTTGAGAACGATGTTTTCAAACAGTGTCTTGAGGAACATACAGGAAAGAATACCCAGGTAAGAATGCTGTACCTCTGTACGGTATTGAACATTCAGATTTTATCATTTCCTGTAAAAATAAACTAGTCAAAAAACTCTCTCTCTCTCTATATATATATATATATATTGTTATCCCAAACTGTTGGATACAAATAAAACTCTATAAGAATTGTACAAGAACATCTTCTTGTTTCTCAAGTCTTTGAATTTTACCTGATGATTACTTGTTGAGATAAACTTTGTTGAGAAGTCTTAATCTTATAGCCGGAGTAAAGCGAATGAAACAACTTCTCTTTTAGTCCCAATACGTATATTTCGGATCATGCACAACAACAGTTCAGACCAGCAATGAGCACCAAAAGGAGTGTTTGGATGCTCCTTTATAGACACCGTATGAGCGAGGCGGGTTACTGACCGCGCGGGACCAGAATAAACAGAAAGTAAACCGAGTCATGTGAATGACCGGTCAAAAGACAACATATTCTGGTGCTTGAACTCAATGCGTTGCTAGGCGGATCTCACACATGAAACACAGTTCAAGAACGGGGTATTATTACGCTGTTTGAGGACTCACAATTATTATGATGACAAACTATATATATATATATATATATATATATATGCTTGAGGTAATTTTTAAATTAGCTAAATGGATGGGAAAATGATGACAGAACTTGAAAACAATTTTTGTTGCATAGATCTTACAATCCTATGGTTCTGACTATCTGTTTCTTGTAATTTTGCCTGAACAAGTCCATTTCCCTAAAATTTCAATGTCCACAGGTTAAGTCAGTGTCTGAATGTTGGGCCTTTTTCAATTGGAAAGAAACGTTCCCTATACCAAATTGTCTGGGGGTCTCTGTACAGTGTATGCTTGGGATATTTTCAGCATAATTCCAGTGAAACCCTTTGTTTTTTGGCAGTTTCTTGAAGGTATGCAAGCAACATCTGCAATTAATTTTTCCTTTGTAACAATTTGAAATTGGTGATGAAACCATTTTTTTTACTCTCAAAAATACAATAATTTGGTAATTTATAATTGAATTCTTTTAAAAGAGCCCAAACCCTGGTTCTCTCAAAATATGGAAAAATACACAAACTTTTAATTTTTCAGAAGGACTCAGAGTGAATCGTTTTATTTTATTTTTTTCCTCCTCAAATTTTCCTCTGGCTCATGCATGCATTTATTCAAGGCTTTCAATACTGTTAGGAACAAATTTTGAAATATTTTCATTCTAAGATTTGAAATAAATTCAAACAACAATCAGCTGGGCTGTGGCCAGGGTGCTTGACACCCTAGCGTAAGGTTGGTATATTTAGCTTAAAACACAAGAATGCTTTGCTTCATGCTTTGAAGTGATTGAATGTATTTTGGGGGAGTTGGGTTGGGTGGGGAGGGGGTTTGGATGCAGGAGGTTTGGTTGTACAGTACCTTGTGAACGCTGAAAAGCTGCAAATAAAGTTTTCTGTTCATTCATTCAAAAACACGAGAATTTGATGAACAGTTAATCAAGAAACAACAGTCTTTTGTGCAAGACAATCTCAAAGCAACTGATGATGGAACATGCAATTTATTTGGTATTTAAACCCTTTCATTTTGCAAAATCTCATACCTGAATAAGCTTATCTATTTTGCAGGATTTCCCCAAGAATTCAACCTCTCGTGGGAACTCAAGGTCACACGTGATCTCACAGGATTCCGGACATACTTGGCTAACGTAAAACCAGCGCCAGTTAACCCTTGGACAGCGGAGGGTTCTTTCTCAGTGCACGGCAGAGTCGGGATTTTTCCGGGGGGCAGCAAATTTCAGTTTGACCCAAGGTTACTGAAATGCACGCAGGTTGTACCTGAACTGATACAAAAGGGCGCAGAATTTGAAATAAAACACTTTAATCAGGTGNGGGGCACTGCTGGGGCCTTATTGTGGTGCATATCCCTGTTTTTGGAAAAAGTCCTCATTTCAGAGAACTTCTGCTGCAGGGCATTAACAGCAGGGGACATCCCATTTTCTGGCAGGGGTTGTAATGGATTGTCTTTGACAGCAGTGGATCTTTTCTTCACCTCTGTGGAAAAGTATATGCCTACTTGTACATGCATAAGACAAAAAAATATAGTGGGTCCACTTTGATTATAAAGTCTGGTCAAGTACTGTTGGATGAGATTTTAGGATAGCATGGGTTGCATGTGAAGTGATCAACAGTCCCTGAACAGTCTGTATAGTCACATCAGTGACTATTTACAGTAAAACCTTATAAAAATAATAGTACAAAAAATGTTTCAGTATATGTTGTCTGAGCTAACCAAAACAAGTAGTAGAGCGTCTGCAGTGTGGATGAAAAAATTTAAAAAAAATGAAAAAACGATTGCAGAAGTGGAATTCAAACCCATGCCTGCAGAACCAGACTGTGACCTGTACGCAGCACCTTAGACCACTTGGCCATCCTGACAACTTAACGTTAATTGATGCGTTTTCAAGTAGGCAAATTCATTCAAGGTGCAAAAGGCCACAGACACACGTTACACAACGTCCTTATTATTCCCCCCCAGACCCCTGTAGGATCCTACTGGTCGTTCCTCCCACTGCGGATGTTAAAACAATATTGACAATACAATAAAGAATATATATCTGCTGTCAAGCATTAGTCAAACAACAATAATAGAATAGAAAAATTAAGAAAGTCTTGCTGAACACTTGAGTCTTTTTGAGAAGTAACCACACTCAACACAGGATTCATTCTGAGAGATTAGAAAATTTCTCAGATAATATATGCACATTTGCAAAATCTGTAGTACACCCAGGATTTCCTTAATGAATATATTGTATATTCATGAGTATTTGGGTCTCATTTAAAGATTTCTTGAATATTATTATATATGCATCACAATTAAACACAATACATA